TTAAAGCTGCTGACATCATGTTAAAGCTGCTGACATCATGTTAAAGCCGCTGACGTCATGTTAAAGCCGCTGACATCTTGATTTGGGTTGACTCAAAAAATTACATTCAGTGAATTTAATCAAAATCTGTCCAGTGGCTTATGAGATATTTTTCTAACAGGCAGACACAGATCTCATGCTATAAATTAGCTCTCAGAGTATGAGTTCCGGAAGACTCTCAGCTACTACCACATCAAATTTAAGCTGAATATCTGTCAATCTGATGGAGTTTTAAATATTTTAGTGTTTTTTATGGTCACTTTACTGCGGCAGCCATCTTGAACTGGGTTACCTCGGTTAAATAAAACGATGCAGCTGATTCTGAAACGCCCCTCGTTTAGTGACAAACCACACCGAGTGTAACACTCACCATTACGAGTGAACTTTAAACCCTGACGCTCAACGTTCCATCCTTCCTGTTTGATTTTTGGACAGAAAGTGTTTTGATGCCGAGCTAACACATTCTGACCTTTGTTAACCAGTCGGCACAAGTTTCTGAGGTGCTGGTTAAATATTTGTGACAAACTTTAGTCTAATTACCTCAGACACAGGCTCCTGCTTCAGCTGTCAACTTCTGTTTAAACTTTAGAGGCTGAGCGTTCCTCACAGCAATGCCTGTCACCTGTCATCTTCTATATTTTTACATAAGTATGACCTCTGTGACCTATGATGACATCATCAGATTTTTACACAAGTCTTAAAAGTAGACCAAGAGAACCCAGCTAAACAAATGAGACAAAAATATTATACTTGGTCATTTATTTATTGAGGAAAATGATCCAAGATTACATTTTAGTGGTAAAAGTATGTGAACCTCTGGGATCACATTGACTGATGTTGATGTTCATGAGTCCACCAGGAGACTCTGAACAACAACGGTTCATGGCAGGTTGAAGGAGAAACCACTGCTCTCCAACAGGAACATGCTGCTCGTCTGCAGTTTGATAAAGATCACGTGGACGAGCCAGAAGACCGTTGGAAGAACGTTCTGTGGACCATGAGACGAAGAAGAACTTTGTGGTTGAAATGAAAAGAGTTCTGTTTAGAGAAAGGACAAGAGCATTCCTGCAGAAGAACCTGATCCCATCTGTGGAACATGGTGGTGGTAGTATCATGGTTTGGGTCTGTTCTGCTGCATCTGGGCCTGGACTTCTTGCCATAATTGATGGAACAATGAATTCTGAATTATATCAGAGAATTCTGAAGGAACATGTCAGAACATCTGTCCATGAGCTGAATCTAAGAGAAGGTGGGTCCTGCAGCAACACAACGATCCTCAGCACACGTGTGGTTCTACCAAAGAATGTTCAAGAAGAATGACGTTCATGTTGTGGAAGGACCGAGTCAAAGTCCTGACCTTCATCCAATCCAGATGTGGAAGGACCTGAAGCTGCAGCTCATGTGAGGAGTGGTGGCGCAGAGGTTAGAGAAGGTGGGCCTGTGATCGGAAGATCGCTGATTCAACTCCCGGTACCGACAACATCAAAAATGTGGGTGGGGTAGGTGAAGCACCCACACCTGCCTCCACCCTCATTGGCTCCACTCTGGGTCCATGAGCAAGGCCCTTAACCCCCATCTGCTCCCTAAACAGGTCTCTCTTGAAAATGAGTTCTCGTGGCTCAGTGACACTACCTGGATAAATGAAGGTAAATGAAACACCAGCATCCAGAGTTGAAGCTGTTCTGTACGGAGGAATGGATGAAAGTCCTCCAAGGAGAGCAGGACTGATCAAATGTTACCAGAAACGTTTAGTTGAAGTTAATGCAGCACAGGGCTGGTGCTGGTGGTGGTGGGGGGTGGTGTCACAGTACTGAAAGCAAAGGTTCACATACTTTTACCACTCACAAATACGTAATATTGGATCATTTTCTTCCATAAATAAATTACCAAGTATTCGTTCATTTGTTTAACTGGTTCTCTTCATCTACTTTTAGGACTTGTGTGAAAATGTGAAGCTGTTTTAGGTCATATTGAAGCAGAAATACAGAAAATTACAAAGACTTTGCAAACTTTGAAGCACCGCTGTAGCAGCCCATAAACCCCTGCAGCTTGTTCGAGAACACACGGGTCGCACAGAAACACCTTTTCAAACCACAAGTTTCATTTCCTGCTTTCAGTGAACAAACTCTTGTGTCACTTCCTGTCATCGCTGCGTGACATCAGGGCGTCAGGGGTGGTTTGACACAAAGATAAAACCCCACACTGGTCTGTGGACAGATTATTTATATTAAAAGAGTCAGAAATGTGTGAAGTTTAATCTTAAATACCTGCAGCTGAGCGAGTGTTTTCTGCTTGGGCAGGTTTGAGATGGGCCGGATCTACACCTACATCGGGGAAGTGGTCGTCTCCGTTAACCCCTACAGACAGATGGACATTTATGGCCAAGATACCATCGATGCATACAGAGGCCGGGAGCTGTACGAAAACCCTCCTCACCTGTACGCCGTGTCTGATGCTGCTTATAAGGCCATGAAGAGACGAGCTAAAGACACCTGCATAGTCATCTCAGGTGTGTCAGCTCCGTTTATCAACTGTCCAAACGCAGGTTCATCGAACACGAGCTGATCTGCATTTGATTATCTCAGTCTGACCCTGTCTGAAAAATTGGAGTCACAGAATTTTACTTATGGAAAAAAAAATAATAATCACATTTGAATAAAACATTAATCTATTAAAAGAACACGAAAATTAAGACCAGTGGCCGTCTGTATCTAATCAATCAACTTTATTTTTCAAACACATTTAAAACACCAAAGTGCTTAACAAAAAAATCAACTAATAACACTTTAGTCCAAATATAATGCAACAGATGCATGAAAATATATTTAGTCATAAACCAAACAGTAGAAATCTAGATGAAACTGAATTAAGAACACAAATGGACACCTAAAGTAGTGAGGTTTATTTAAATTAATTGTTTTAAAAGAAAACTGCACGGTGTTGCAGATTGTTTTTTATGCAGTCAGTTTTAATTTTAATAAAAAACAAGCAAACAGCTTCTCTCCCTTATTGATCAACTAGTTAGCTAATCAGCTAACAGTTACTAACTATGGTGTTAACTGTGTTACATTTTCAGGTCATGACTCGTATGTTGAAATAATATCAAATTAGCAAAGTTCGTTATGGATTATAAATAGGAGCGTTAACTTGGCTCAGTTTTAATCTATTAGCAGCGTCTACAGCTGATAATGTGCATGCTGTCAGAGCGCTAACATAGCTAACAGTAGGCTAGCTGGTGTTTACAGGGACTTCCGGTTTTCAGGAAACTCTAAAGATAAACAACAACAACAACAAAAAAGAAACTCTAAAGACCTTTTCTCTTTTCTTTTTTTATGTTGAAATTTTAATTCATTCATTCAACTTTTGTTTATACGTCCCGTTGAGCCTGGGGAACTCATTTACAAGAGAGACCTGATGTTTATTTTTTTCAATAAATAGAATAAATACATAAATAAATTTAAAAAAATAAATTAGCACTTAAAATTATTTGTAGAACAGTGACAGCAGTTCACCAGACTCGGTTGTAAACAAACACCTAGCGTTGTATTCGGCTGCATGCTAACATGCATGCTAACATATGCTAAGTTAGCTTCCATTGACGAGCGGAGTTTATTTGAACTTCCGGTTTTCAAGAAACGCCAGGTAGTGAGCATATAAAAAGTTAATTACTACCTATAGCTATGTTTAAATAAATAGTCACTTAGTAAAATAATCATGGATCACTAGTAACATAGTTTAGGCTAAATTTTAAACTGATATAACGTTTAGCTAGCAGCACCCACAGCTTTATGCTAATGTTATGAATGCTAAGTTAGCTAGTCGCGTTAAGCTAGCGGGCGTTTACTGAGACTTCCGGTCTTCAAGAAAATCAACAGTTATTGTGACAAAATGTAAAGTTATATAGGACTAAAATGCATTGAAACTATTTCATTTAACATACTCTTTAAATTGTGGTGAAAATGTAACAATTTTCTTGATTAATAAAGGCTATATTAATAAAAGTAAACCAGACTGTTTTGAATTGGCTGCTACTTCCGTTAAATAAAAATTCTGGTCTGGTTCAGATGATTCACTGGGCTGGTTAATGGTTTGGTAAAGTAACTCACAGACTAAGCAGTGAAGCATAGTTTGAAGTAGAAAACAAGGTTGAAACAGTTTATTCTGTTTGTCACATATTATATTTCATAGTGGGCGTAAATTCAGATTTACTGTATGTTTTTCTCTTTTACTCATCGGTGATTGTTTTCGTGTTTTAGGTGAAAGTGGAGCTGGAAAAACTGAAGCCAGTAAGTACATCATGCAGTATATCGCAGCCATCACGAACCCCAGCCAGAGGGCCGAGGTGGAGAGGTGAGCTCCCTTCTAGTTTAATCCAGTAACTTATTCAATAATCCTGCGTGAATTCATTCATTCAGCCGTTATTTAGACAGATAAGTCACACTGAGCCTAGAAGAGTGAAACTGGACACATGTAGGAATAACGAGGCGTCGCCATTAAACACTTCACCTCATCTCTCTTGTGTTTTTCCACCAACGTGACGACTCAGCGTGAAGAACGTGCTTCTCAAGTCCAACTGTGTGCTGGAGGCCTTCGGGAACGCCAAGACGAACCGCAACGACAACTCCAGCCGCTTCGGCAAGTACATGGACATCAACTTCAACTTCAACGGCGATCCCACCGGGGGTCACATCAACAACTACCTGCTGGAGAAGGTGAGGGGGGGACGATTACCTGCAGGCCGGGACAGAACGTCTCGTTTTTAACTGCACATAAAGTCTTTGTGATGTGATGAAGAAGAGGAAACATCTTTAACTAGACGCGAGAGCAATGAAGCTGCTAAATATGTCCACCGGATACAAAACCTGTGATTTATTGTGAAGGAGCAGAAATAAAAAGCTGCCGCCTCATCTCCTCAGAACCAGGCGGTCCAACTTTTGGATTTAGTGACAAAAAACCATTTGAAGGAGCTCATTCTTCAGGATCACAAACTTCTGCAGCTTTACCAGAAAAACTAATCTTTTAAAACATGAACGCGACGGCGACTCCTTTGACCACGTGACGTCGGACAGTCCTTGGAAAACGAGCGTCCTGCCAGTTTCAGTCAGGACGTAATGAAACTGTGATGGTCGTTACCAGGTTCTGAGGTGATTCAGATCGAACCTCAAGTGAGCAAGAACTCACAGCAGATTCCACCGAGTCGATATTAATTAATTAATTAAACAAGTCGTTGAAGCTGCGAGTAAAAAAACTGTTTCTAGTCTCACTGCCTCCACAGGATCTCAGAGGTTCAGGATCAGCTGGGAGCTGCTGATGAACTGGTCCTCGTCAGTGGGGCCAGCTCTGACCTGCAGCGTACAGGTGTGTGTTAACACAACACCAAGGTGGGAAGACAACAGCAATGATCTTAGAGAAGCAGCAGCTGCTGTTCATCAATCTGGGAAGGGTCAAAGGTCATCTGGAGTCCATCTTTCTACAGAGAGAAACATTATCCATGAGTGGAAAACAATTAAGACTGATGACAGTCTTCACAGCAGATTCACCCCGAAGGTCAGACTGTGCAGTGACTCCACAGGTCTCAGCAGGTCAAAAGTCATGGACTCTTCGCTCTAAAAACAAGATGGCAGCATGACTCAGGTTTAGAAAGTTTCATCTGCAGGAAATAAAAGATTTCAGGACCAGAAACGGACCAGAGGACAGATGTTTACCCAGAATGCACTGCAGCTGTCTGCACGGTGGTGGAGGCTGATGGTTTGGGCTCCTGTCAGTCGCTGAGTGGACCAGGAGCTCCTCTGTAGACCAAAGGGTTCAGATGTGAGTCCATCTGGACTCGGGGTTGGATTAAAATCCTTTCAGAACCCGGTGAAGACCAGACCAGATCTTTTTACTGTCAACCCCCAGAACTGAAAGAGGATCAACTTTATTTTTCTCCTGACTGCGTTTGATTCAAGCGTTACTTTAACTTTTCTTTTCCTTTGACCTCCCTGGAGCTCTGTTTGTTCACGTTTTCAAATATTTCATTCACAGTTCACTTTTTTTTTTTAACCTTTATTTAAAAAATCCTTAGAAAATTAATGTCTCTTAACGGGTCAAAGTATTGCAGCTAAACTGGTAAAAATGATGTTGATGTCACGATGCTCTTCCTGTTCAAGTCCAGGGTGGTCCAGCAGCACGAGGGGGAGAGGAACTTCCACTCCTTCTATCAGGTGAACCCAGGGCTGAGTCGCACAAATCATACTGGTTTCTGTTAAATGTGATGGTTTCTGAACGGAGGCTCTGCTGTTTGTGCAGCTGCTGCGTGGAGGAACAGATGAGATGCTGACGTCGTTCCACCTGCAGAACGATCCCGCTCGTTATTTTTACACCAGAGAAGGAGCTGCAGCCGCCGTCAGTTTATCCTCTTTTTAAATTTTTAGTTTTAAACTTCAAGTGGGATGTTTAAAAATGTAATAAAAAATGTTAAATTCTGTTTTCCAGACTTCTAACAACGATCGCTCGAACCACAAAGCAGTGATGAGTGCGCTCCATGTGATCGGCTTTTCACAAGAGGAGATCGCTTCAATCTACCAGATCCTCGCCTCCATTTTACATTTGGTAGGATTTATTTTGTGCAAAGGCTCAAATGTATGCATAACACACCACAGAAATAGGAAGGTTTCCCTGGAACAGGATGCCTAAAGTGGAGTTCTTCAGTCCATCACCTGAATGATCCACATGTTGCATCACAAGCTGTAGATTTTGTACAATTTAAAGAATAAACTTAAACACGTGACTATTTCAACTACCAAAACATCCATCCACCCATTGTCTTTACCCGCTTCTTCCTTTTTGGGTCGCGGGGCTCACTGGTGCCCATATTCAGCCATCACTGTGCGAGAGGCGGGGGACACCCTGGACAGGTCTCCAGTCCATCACAGGGACACATAGGGACAATTTAGAGTTACCAGTCAGTCTAACATGCATGTTTTTGGTCTGTGGGAGGAAACTGGAGAACCCGGAGAAAACCCACGCATGCACGGAGAGAACATGCTGAAGAAGATCAGGGCTGAAGTTTAATGCGACAGGACTGGGATCAAATTAGACTAACAAAACCAAAAAAACCAAAATGGCCTCATTTTGGTTTCTGTGGTCCGTCTTTAACTACTCTGGATTTTATCCCTAATGCATCCATACATTTCTATGCTGATGACACAGTTGTTTATTGTCGAGCTAAAACAGTTGCTAAGGCTTTCCAGCTTCTGAAATCTGCATTTAACTACATCCAGACTGATTTGTTTCACCTCAAACTTGTCCTAAATGCCGAAAAAACCAAAGGGATGCTTTTTTCAAATAGGAAGTTGGTCCCAGCAGTTCTTCCTCTGATTTTATCCTCAAATGGTGTCCCCATTGAGTTTGTTGATTCCTATAAATATTTGGGTATCTTGGTCGACTCACATCTCTCTTTTAAGCTCCATGTGGAAAACTTGGTAAAGAAACTGAAAGTTAAACTGGGTTTCTTTTTCAGAAACAGATCCTGTCTAACCCTGAATGTTAGGAAACACCTTGTATCTGTGACTTTCCTTCCCTCCATTGATTACGGTGATATTATTTACATGAACGCTCCTACAAGAACCCTGCAGATGTTGGATGCTGTCTATCATGGTGCACTAAGATTCATAACTGGCTGTGATTATCGTACCCACCACTGCACCCAGTATTCACTGGTTAACTGGTCACCATTAACTTCACGCAGACTCTCTCACTGGTACATTTTCATCTTTAAATCACTTCTTGGTCTGCTGCCTTCATACATCTCCTCCTACATGTCTCTGCGTGAGTGCAGCTACAGCGTGCGCTCTCAGGACATCATTACCTGCAGTGTTCCCTCAGTGAGGACTGAACTAGACAAAAGGGCCTTCTCTTACTCCGCTCCTGTTTCCTGGAATATCTTACAAAAAGATTTGAAGCTCTCGACCTTTGACCTCTCTAAGTGGCTTTAAGAATCTGTTGGACTCCTGGCAGGGACCAATGCAGACATGTTCCTGTTTTTAGTTTTATACATTTGTCTTGGAATCTAGCTGTTTTTTTTTTTTTTTTTTGTTTTGTTACCTTTTTCCTTTTAGCCATCCTATTTGTTAAAAAAAAAAAAAAAAAAACTAGTATGAGTTTTTATAACTGCTTATTGTTGTTGCTGTTGTCCATGGTTGTCATCTTTCTTTGTTGAAATCAGGTCTCTCTTGTAAATGAGTCCTCGAGGCTCAATGGAATTTACCTGTATAAATAAAGGTTGATTGATTTTTTAAATATAAACTGAAGCTTCCTTCTCCGTTTGCACCTTTCGTTCTCACAAACTGAGTTTTTGGTGAGAAAGTTATTTTATTAAACTGCTAACTGCGGTTGTGGAGGATCTGTGTGAGCTTTTCAGAAACCACATAACGCCTGTTATCACTCTGTGTCCTAGAAATCAACATAAAGGAGACATTTTTGACTGTTTTTCTGTCCGTTTCACTTCATCCTTCATGGGCCACTCCATCTGAAGTGGTGAAATCGGCCCTCATTGATGTAGCTGCGTGATGAAAATCACATCATTTTTGTTCTCAGAGTAGCTCCGCCCCTTCTCGACACAAGGCACAGATTTAACTTTTTCTCACACGTCAAGTGTTGTGTGATTGGTCAGAAGTTTGTGGGCGTGTTCATCAATGTGGAAATGTGTTCGGACATTCAGCTGTACGACTCTTCAAACACACTAAATTAGTGAAACAGCCAAAAACTCCTCAGTGTTCCCCTACCTTTATACAAGCAGGGCACCCCTCCCTGTCAACAGAACCGAGCGCCCTGCCTACCAAACCGAACCAACCCCTTGCCCCCCAGTCGACAACAGCCGACACTGACGTAGCTCTAAGTTAGCGGCACGCAATACAGATGCACTAGCAAAAAAGCTCAGTTTCCCTCACGCTTAGACGTCTCCTACAACACCCCCCACTCAAAAACTCTCTGTACAAACAGCACGCGACACAAACCAACACTGTCCCCCCCCCCCGACAAAAATCACAGGAGCTCATGCACACATCGTGTCTGGGACTGAGTCTCATGGATTATGAAAGCTTTTCCTTAGTTTACACATATCCCAGGAAAAATTTGATAGTCGGTCTACTTTGAGGCCAACCGGGGAAGTCAGATTCAGATAAGCCACAATTGTTGATTTTTTTTTTTCAGGCAGACTGTTTTTCTTCTTGTCAGCCTTGAGTCCTGCTGGTACTTTCAATCCCAAAATGGTCAGATTAGTGGGCATTCCACTGGTCTGTGCTTATTAGCTTCCTCCAAGATCATCTCCAACATGCAGGCGAGTCCCAGAAGCCGCAGGTGGCTTACGATTCTCACAAATCACTTCCATCTTATGGTTTAGCTCATAAATCAGCTGATTTTTAGTACTCGAAGCACGAACCAAACCTTCACACAGACTTTGCAGTTTTGCCATGGCCGAAACTGCTGCCGCCGTCTTCTTCATTAGCCGATAACATAAGAATCCGCCGATGCCAAAAAGCAGAAACCCCGCTGTCATGAATCCAAGTATATAAACGTCTTCAGCGTCCTCCTGAGACAAAGCGAAAAGACACATCAGCTCCCAAACTCCCCACGGATCCATGACGTATCCTGCAGCGTGAGTCTCAGCAGGGCGTGAGGGCTCTCCAGGACCCTGTCGCTTTGCTGAAAAGATTTTATCGATTGCGTTGACAGTCCAGCTGACCATATCCATGACAGTAGTTTTAGTTTCAGAAGATGTGTAACAGGAGCTCCGATGCACAGACAGAGAGCAAAAAAAAAAAAGCAAGAGGAGGACAGGAGAGCAGCAGGAGGAGGAAAAAGCATCTTTTTTATCTTTTTATTTACAGTGAACCCTCGCTATAACGCGGTTCACCTTTCACGTCTCGCTGCTTCACGGATTTGCATCGTGCGTTGTGTTCTGCATTCTGATTGGCTAAACAGTCTCAGTAGTTACAGTAGTTATTTGTAAAAAACGTTTATACAGTACTTTTATTTGTTAAAACAAATGCTTGGGCCTGTAAAAAGGTTTTGTTCTTTGGTTTGAATGTATTATGGAGTATTTCATTGTATAATAATAGTAAAAAAATAAAGGTTACTACTTCACAGATTTCGCCTATCACGGGTTCTTTTTGGAACATAACCCCCGTGAAAAACGAGGGTTCACTGTATATGTATATTTGTTTACCTGGAGTGGGCGGGACTTAACTCTTGTGGGTTCATGTCAGAGCCAGATTTAAAACAAATGCACAGAACTATAAATGAAAACATTTTGTTGGTAACTTCTCAGGGTAACGTGCAGTTCGAGAGCGACGGGGAGAACGTTCGGATCCTGGGGCTCGACGCCGTGAGCCACATCTCAGAGCTGACCGCCACGGACCCGGACAGCATTGCTAAGAGCCTGCTGTACCGTACGGTGGCCACGGGCGGCGGAGAGGTCATCGAAAAGGGTCACACGGAGGAGGACGCCTGCTTCGGACGGGACGCCTTTGCTAAGGTGCTGTTAGCCGAAGAGTCTGAGATTATATTCAGCCGGTCGGCTGTGTCTCCTGAGAGTCAGGAAATAGTTTCTCAAGGTAAAACCAATGCTGACTCAGCAATCTGGAAATATGGATTCAGCATTCACCCTTTAGCTGTTTAGCTGTTTTAGCTGTTCGTAAATCCAAACCTTCAGCTCATTCAGGAGATGGCTGCTGGGACTTCTAGTTTTGTAAATTTTTAAACTTAAAAATTTACTTATGTTTGCAAACATTTTTTTCTAGAAACACGTCAAGATCTCTACCATGCAGCTTTGTAGTTTTTTAGCTTCTAGCTAGCTTCTAGCTAGCTTTTTGCCACCTTTAGGTAGGCTTTTGCTACTTTACTTTTCTACCTAGTCTTTTGCTACTTTTAGGATTTGACCTTTTAGCTGATTTTTGTTTTTTTAGCTAGCATTTTGCTACTTTTCCTTAGCGTTTTGGTATTTTTAGCTTTCAGTTAGCTTTTGATACCTTTAATGGCTTTAAATAACTATTTGCATATTTTAGCAATTCTTTATTAACTTTTAGCTTGCCTTTAATACTTTTAGCTTTTAACTAACCTTTTGCTACTTTTGACTAGTTTTAGCTTTAAGCTACACCTTAGCAACTATTAGCTAAAGTTTGGTTACTTTTAATTGTAACCTAACTTTTCGTTTGATTGTTATTTATCTGTTTAAGCTATTGTGGGTTTTTTTTAGCTGTAGCTAGCATTTTATTACTTTTAGCTTTTAGCTATCCCTTTATCACCATTTGTAGCATTTTGCTACATTCAGCTTTTACCTTGTGATTTGCTACTTTTAGCTATTGTTTTGCTACCTTTGAGTTTTAGCTAACCTTCTTATTTTAGCTTTACTGCAGTTTCAGCTTCTTCAGTGAAGTTCAGCTGTCCTTCAGCTAAATCTGCATTTTAGCAGAAAATGTCTTTTTAAAGTTTTTGTCTGGTTTGTGTCTCACTCTGTCCCTCTGCTCGTCTGTCCCTCCATCCGTCCCTCCATCCTTCCCTCTGTCCGTCCCTCCGTCCGTCCCTCCGTCCGGCTGCAGGCTCTCTATGAGAGACTCTTCGGCTGGATCGTGAGCCGCATCAATGGCATCATCGAGGTGAAAAACTACAACCCAGTGCTTCATGGGAAAAACACGGTCATCGGTGTGTTGGACATCTACGGCTTCGAGATCTTCGACAACAACAGGTTGACTTCTTGTGTCAGCGCATCTTCTCATCACCTTCGTGAGGTTTTGTCAACTGTGTTGCTCAACTTTTTTCTCGTGTGTTTCGGGGCAGCTTTGAACAGTTCTGCATCAACTACTGCAACGAGAAGCTGCAGCAGCTCTTCATCGAGCTGATCCTCCAGCAGGAGCAGGACGAATACCAGAGAGAAGGCATCACCTGGCAACATGTGAGGACACTCACCTGGACGGACCGGAACACAGAGCGACACGTCAGCGTGTCTGCAGGACGGAGACCGGAGACTCATCAGCTTAGTTTACAAACACTTTAATGACATAATCCCTGGATTAACAGATTATTTTCTCCCACTGCACCGTTCAGGTGCTACGATTTATTTTCTGTGAAGGTTTAAAGATTTGTCTAATTTCTGACATTTCTCTTCAGTTCCTGACAAAAGTAGCAAAAGGCAAGCTAAAAGCTAAAAATTCAGAATGGTAGCTAAAATTAGAAATTTAAAATAAGTTTAAAAATTCAGTTAAATAGTTTGAGCATTAAATCGTGTGTTGTAGATTACTCTCAGCTACTACCACACCTAATTTTAGCTCATTATCTGTGAAAATGACTGAACTTTAGTCATTTTTGTGTTTTCTAAGGTTGGTTGGTTGTGGCGGCCATCTTGAATCAGGTTTACTCCAAAAGTTAACGAGTTGTAGACGAACGTCCGCTGAATATTTCCTGGACACTTTGTTATAATTTGAGATATTTTATTAACACACCATCAACATAACATGATCATCCTCCTCTGCCTTTCAGCCACGAGTGATAATGAATATTTTTATTTTAAATGTAGGAGTTGTGCTTTGGTGGATTGCAGCATCAGACAGAGGAGCTAGTTTATAAATAAAAACACAACTTTGGCTCTTTAGACGCATTTCGTGATCACAACCATGAAACTTCACACAAACGTTAAGTATAAGTTGTTTACATGTGAACACAGCTGTCATGAAATCATCAGACAGCTCACGCTAACATGCTAAAACACATCCTGTTCACGCGCAGATCGATTACTTCAACAACCAGATCATCGTGGACCTCGTGGAGCAGCAGCACAAAGGCATCATCTCCATCCTGGACGAAGCCTGCCTCACCGTCGGTAAAGTCACGGACACGGTGTGCCTGGACAGCATGGACACCAAGCTGGCTCAGCATCCTCACTACACCTCCCGCAAGGTGACCGCGCTCCGCTCGGCCTCCTCCTGCGGCGTTCAGCTTCACAGACGGCTCCTTCAGAGTCCGGTCTGGTCTCGCTGCTTTCTGGGAGTTTAGGACTCTGAAGGTTTAATTACTGCGAGATCTGACTCGAGTCTTTAAGATCTATTAATTTATATAATTTCTGACCTCCAAAACCCAGAATAAAAAATAAATAAATAAATAATATATATATTTGTGCCACAAACATGAAGTTTTAAGGTTTTGCCAGCAGAGGGCAGCAGAGCGCACCTGTATATTTTTATAATGGAACCTTTTTAAACCTCCCAGTTTTAAACCTGTACAGACAGGAAGTGTTTATTTAATTATTTATCTGTAAAGTAAGAATTATTTTTTATTTTCTGACGCTGTCTCCGTCTGTTTTCCAGCGCAACCCTTCGGACAAAACCATGGAGTTCCAGAAACACTTCCGCATCCGTCACTACGCTGGAGACGTCACGTGAGTCGCTCTGGTTTTCAAAACGACGGCGCTCGTGCCGGGTCAGCGGCGTGAGCCCCGTGATCCGACTGAAGGAGCTCGGTCCCTGACGTCAGCGTCTCGGAGGCAGGGACTAAGTTACTGACGGGAACATGGAGGAAACGGCAATCTGTGCTGCTTTTAGATAAAGAGCTAAAAGTTCAGGGTTAGCTGCTGCCGTGAGGGCAGGGATTACATACAGTAACTGTTTATGTGTCTGTTAGCAAAATATCTCATGGACCAGCGTATAGATTTCAATGAAACACAATGGATGTACATCTACAACCTTTGGAGGACGATTCACAGTTTATCAACATTGACAAAAATATGTATAACTCTGTCAGTTTTACACGTATTGAGCTACGGTTTGGTGGTAGTGGCTGAGAGTCATCCACAACACGTGGCCTGAGCACCAACGACACACGTGTTCAGGAAGCTGATTAATTCTGAGCAGGTTTCAGAGGCTGTTTTTCCTCTTCCTTAATGCCTTCACTGGATTTGATGGAAGCTGCAGCCAGATGAGGCCCAGCAGGCCGTAGACCCCCCAAGCTCACGTGGTCTGACCTCAATCGAGCCTGGGCAAGGACCTTAATATGACGAGGAGACGAGGAGGAGGAGGAGGAGGAGGAGGAGGAGGAGGGATGGAGCGAGCTGATAAGACAGTTTGTGGACGCAGCAGTAACACAAACAGCATCTGCTCAGTTTATTTCTACAATAAAATCATAAAAAGGATCAAAGTAGGAATAAAAACAACACTAGCTAACATCGTTAGATTATAACATATTCCAGATTAATCTGTGGAAACCCTCAGACACTCTCAGATGATTGACCAGTCCACCACTGGTTCCCACTCAGATTATTGCAAACTATATTTTACAGTCCAAAAAAGTTCAATCTGGTCCTCTGGACATTAAAAAAAAAACACAAAAAAATGTAGAAATGTTTCGTCTCTCATCCTGAGGACTTCCTCAGTCTGAGGTGCTGTATTCAGCTCAGTCTCTTAAATAGCACCTTCTCAGAGTGGATCAACCAGAACCAGCTGCTCACATGCTCAAGAAGGTCCATCAGCCTAACAATGGATCATTAGCACTCTGATGGCTGAAGACCAGGGAGGGAGCTGGAACCCTGAAGACCAGGGAGGGAGCTGGAACCCTGAAGACCAGGGAGGGAGCTGGAACCCTGAAGACCAGGGAGGGAGCTGGAGCCCTGAAGAGCAACGAGTCGTCGGGTGATAATGTTGCTGTCGGTTGTGAGGAGAGCCGACCCAGTGGTCCCAGGGCGAAGAAGGAGCATGTCTGAACAATGGCAGGAGACGGGCAAGTGGTAGGAAGACATGGAGGCAGCTGAGGAGGCACAGAGGAGGTCCACAGAGGAGAACCCAGGGGGCAGGAGGACATCAGAGCTCATACACTGGAGGCACAGAGAAATATAAAGTCTGTTAATGTTCAGTTGAGCTCACGAGTAAAAGGCCAGAACACAAGTACCATCGGCAGACATCGCTCCAGCGCTGCAGCCTTTGAAGCTCCTCCTGCTCTTCAAGCCGAAGGTCCTCAGGTTCTGCTGATTCAAGTCTCGCTGTGGCTGCAGGAGCTGTCGGGAGCACAACTCCCACAAAGACGAGAGAGAACTGAAGCTACGGAAGCTCTGATGGGACAAACGGCACAGTGCAGCGTGACAGATTAACAGAAATTATTTTTGTGGTTTGAAGTTTACCCCCGCTCCGAACATAATCCCTCCTTCGTGGTTCCACCTCCTCCTGGTCTTCGGTCCAGAGCTCTGCTGCCGGGGTTCCTATGAGCACCAACCCTCGTTACGTCTTTCACCATCGTTTTTACAGATGCTGCGTTTAAATTAGCGGTGGTAGCTGCGAGTCGTCCTCAGCGCGGACTCTGAGTTCTGATGGGTCTCTCTTATCGTGGTCCCGTCCAGGTTCGACCAAAACGGGTCAAACTTCTCAAGACGAGACTTTGTCCTGAAGGAGGCGTCTGAGAGCCGCGAGGCCAAACTGTCTAATAAACCCTCGGAGATGTGGAGCTTCTGCTCCGGCCCTGACCCGAACAGAGAAAAGCTCGAACGCTCGGCCCGTCTCGTGGGTTCAGCAGGACCGGTCTGAGCCCGTCCTCAGCTGTCTCTGCAGGCAGAGAGGACAGGACTGAGACAGATGTGTCCTTTCTGGTCCGAGAGGCTTGAAACCATCTGACCAGATCCTGCACTCTGAGACGTGATGAAGAGGAGGGGCACGAAGGTGAGGGAACGATGACTCAGGAGAACCGAGACCCGAGGAGGACGGTGACGCTGTAAGAGGAGGGAACCTTCTGGAAAAGGTTCGGCTGTAAAAAGTTGTTTGATGTTTGCTCAAAGTGCTGCGTGTGCACACTGAGCCCCTGCAGGGAGGAAAGAGGAAGAGGAGGCAGCGAAGTGGGTCAGAGCTTGAGATAATGGCAGTTTGGTGACGCGGGGGGGCAGCGGGTGGAGAGGACGAGGTATATTTAGTCGGAGTGAGGACGGGATCGGATGAGACAGGACGGAGCTGAGAGGTGACAGCTCAGCTGGAACCGGCCTGGTCCTGAAACGGGTCTGATGGGGGCCGACAGTGAGTGACAGCCGTCTGCCATCACCACCACGGCTCGATGACATCATCCGCCATGTCAGGGGCGTGTCCGTACGATGGCGGCGTGATCGCACGAACAGCCTCAGAGTCCAGAGGAAGTGAACCTGCCGCTCCCGACCCGTGAACCCGGCTGAGGCTTCTGGGTCACTGTTACCGGACTAACTATAAAACCACATTTTCACTGAAGCGGCTCAAGGCGTGGCTTGTTCCTGCTGCCGCACCTCAGACCTTCAAAATAAGAGCCTCAACCACGGAGCGCTGCAACTCCCAAAACACCTGAAGCTTCTGAAACCAGCTCAGCTGGCTGAAACTAAAACAGCCGAGAAGTCAACACTCAGGCTGATTAAAGTCTGTCCAGTGGTTCATGAGATATTTTGCTAACAGACAGGCAGGAACTCGTGGTCAGTCAGTGAGAATTAAAAGTTTGTGCAAAATGTTTGTTTTTTACCTCAAAATAACTCGGACGGTGCCTGAAGACAAACTTCAGATATTTCCAAACATTCTTCTGTCCAGCTAAACAAACAGCTAAACAACAGCTAAACAAACAGCTTAACAACAACTAAACAA